CACACACTCTGCAGTTTTGTGAGATAGGATCTCAGAAACCCTAGAGAAAAGAAAAGCAATTCGCCATCTATTTCTCTAGTTCCCTCCAGTTGCAGCCACCATCCATCTGTCAGAGAAAGATCAAGAAAAGTTCTTGATATCAGTCTTTCTTGAAAGGCTGATTCGGTTTGGTGCTCATTGTCATCCAAAGGATTCTTGTGAAGGATTCAATGTGTGGGACGCACCCTGGTGGTTCTGTTCCACAGTTGYTGTGTCATTTTCTGCAAGAGCAGATCTTGGTTCCTTCTTTGGGCGTGAACACCAACTTTGGGAGAATTTTTTTTCTCTGGATCAGGTATAATTACTCCCTTCACTTTTGGTTTAGATCTGGTTCGGTTCTGGTTCAAGTAGGATCCTTGAATCTTGATTCTAAAATTAGGAAATGTGATTCCTAGTTGAAAGGCAGGTAGAAAATTTTAGAAATTCGCCCACCTATTCCGCAACTGTTTTGGCGTCCATACAATGGATTCTACCATCACTTTCACTTAACGGTCAAATGGAGGAGTTAGATAGTGAAACTTGACATATTGGGGTTTTTAAGTCTCTAAACATAGTTGTGAAAGTGCATTATTTGAAGTACTGGTACGCCCCTACCGATACATAGGGGCATATCAATATTTTGAACCTTGGGTCTGATTGATTAGATGAGGTTTGGACGATGAAGATCTATGGATGATAATCTCTAATCAATGAGATTTGTTGATATGGAATCTTTACTTGATAGTGGGTTAAATGAGGGAATCTTGGGGTGAAATTTGGTGGATATACATATTTGAATGTCCTATATCTATGGGAAAGATGGATTTTTTATCAGAGATCTGGATTGAAAGATTTAGTTCAGATTAATGTTTTAGCTTATGGCACATTAACCAATGAGAAAGATTAAAACAAGATCTAATGGGAAGGTTGAATATGATGGGAAAGGTAGATCTTTTATCAAAAATGTGGATTGAAAGATTTAGTTTAGTTTAAGGTTTTATCTTACATCTCATCAACCAATGACAAGGCTTAAAATAAAATCTCAGTAGTTTCAATAGGAAATGTGGGAATTTAAGACTAAAATTGGATAGGTAGGTTATTTTTAAGATTTTGGAATTTTTGAGAGGGGTTTAGTGATCTGGATTGTAACTCTTGGTACGAATAAATCRTAAATGTCTGATCAGAATATTTGTTAATGGGATGGTCAACTGAAGAAATTTTGAGTTGAAATTTGGTGTACAAGCATAAATTAAGGTGTTGAACCATGTGCAGAGATTAGATTTGATGTAGACACATAAATATTAGTTTTTTTTTTCAATCTTGTCCAATTGGGGCCGTTGAAATGAGATCTTATTAGTGTCTATAGTTGATTATTGGGATTTTAGGATGGGATTTGGTGGTCAATGTTTTTGGGGTGTTGGAAGCAGGTACAAACGTAGGATGAAGGAGCCAAGAAAAAATTGGGTGCCAATATTAGTAATAAAATAACAATAATTAAGTTCAAGGCTCAACCCTTAGAATTAGGCTTAGGGACTGAGCCTAAGGTCAAGTCAGATTTGTCCAACATGAGCCTATTCTGCACTAAAATTTGATGCACTTTTTGAAAATTGGTTTATATATATTCAACTCGATACCAACCCAACCTGTTCTATAGGCTTTCAATTTTTTTTGATACTTTTTGAAAACTCAAGATGCATTAATTTAAGTTGAAAATTGGTTTATGGGTTCCAAGGTATTCAAGTTCAAGCTCGAGTTAGACTTGAACTATATTTTCTAGCTCAAGCTCGGTTCAATTAAATATTCAATGAGCTTGAGTTCGGCTCGAAAGCTTGAAAATAAATATATTTGTATATTATATCTATATGATATTTTTATAATATATAGTATATTATTATATTATATATATATTATAAGAACATATTTTTATATTCTATAATATATATGTGTGTATGTATGTGTGTGTGCTAATCAAGCCAAACTTTCTATTGGTCGAGCTCGAGCTCGAATAACTAATCGAACTTACCCTAAGGTTCAAACTCGATTCAAGCTTGAGTAGAATTGAACTCAAATCGAGCCTAATCGAATTCGATCCCGAACTATTTGATTAGAGCTCGATTCAGTTGCAACCTTACTCCAAAGTGAAAGAAAAAAAAAACCAAAAAAAATAGTGAAATAAATAATATACTTTAAGGTTAGGGGTTAGAACTTAGAAGTCAGACCAAATGACAAGAATACCCTTTATATGCGTAGGGGTATTATGACCTGTTGGACGGGCTTACACAAACTTAAACCCGATTTGTGTTAAATAATCAAAACTCTATCCTAATTTTACACCCAATTTGGATTAAAATATTGAAAGAAATCATAAGCTTAAAATATTGAAAGAAAATCATAAGCTTTAGGATTAGGGGTTAGAAGTCACACCAAATCATAATAAAACCCTTTATAGCATATTTTCAATTTTATTGTAATTTTTTAATTTCATTTAATCATTTTATATTTTTTTGTATGAATTTCATTCAAATCATTGAATGTCATTTTTCACTATCTTTTAAATTTTTATTCTTTTATAATGAAAACAAAAAAAATAATAAAATAATATAGATTGGCACCACCCGATTTACCCCTTTAGTTAGCCCCACCCTCAACCTGCACGGCCATGCCAGCGCGGCCCACCCGTACGGTGCGAGCGGCGCCAAAATGCGATACGCCAGTAGCCGAATGGTGTTTTCTGTACCAGTCACCTTCTGATTCACACTCGCCACCTTACTATGCAACTCTCAACATCACCGTCGTGGAATTTGAATTCCACACAAGTAAGCCTTCGCATTCTTTTGGAACCCATCAAACAGAACCCACCTCAGATTGTATCCTATGCACCTATTTTCCAATTTTTAACCGGCACCCACTCTTTGAAACTAGGAAAGCAGGTCCATGCCCACATGACCCTCCGTGGACTCCAACCGAATGCATTCCTTGGTGCAAAAATGGTTGCAATGTATGCTAGCTCCGGCGATATAGACTCTGCTGAAACCGTCTTTGATCAAGTTTCTTTTCCTTCGTCGCTCCTCTATAATTCCATCATTCGCGGGTATACTCGATTTGGGTACTATGAAAGAACTCTCAAAACGTACTTTATTATGAACTCACAAGGACTTCGTCCCGATTACTTCACCTTCCCCTTTGTTCTCAAGTCCTCTGCGGAGCTATCGTGTCTTCGGACTGGGAAATGTGTTCATGGAAAGAGTTTAAGAATTGGGTTGGAATATGATTTGTATGTCGGGACTTCTTTGATAGATATGTATGTGAAATGTGGCGAGTTAAGTAATGCTCATAAACTGTTTGACAGGATGCATGTGAAAGATGTTTCATCATGGAATGCTTTGATTGCAGGTTACATGAGAAATGGAGTAATTCAAATTGCCGAGGCGTTGTTCCAAAGCATGCCGAAAAGAAATATTATTTCCTGGACTGCTATGATATCTGGGTACACTCAGAGTGGGCTTGCAGACCGAGCACTGAGTTTGTTTGGAGAGATGCTGAGGGTGGATTCAGAGGTAAAGCCCAACTGGGTAACTATCATGAGTGTCCTTCCAGCGTGTGCTCATTCAGCTGCTCTGGAGTATGGGAAGAAGATTCATAGTTATGCAAGTGAGATTGGTTTGGACAAAAGTTTTTCTGTACAAACTGCACTCATTGCAATGTACGCCAAGTGTGGGAGCCTTATCGATGCTTGTCACTGTTTTGAGAGGATACCTGAGAAGGAAAAGAGTTTGATTACTTGGAACACCATGATAGCCGCCTATGCATCTCATGGATGTGGGAAGGAAGCTGTATCCACATTTAGGAACATGATAAAATGTGGGGTTCAACCTGATGCTATTACATTTTTGGGTCTCTTGTCTTCATGCAGCCATTCAGGTCTTGTGGATGTAGGCTTAGAATACTTTAATTGTATGACTAGAATTTACTCTGTTGATCCAAGAGCAGAACATTATGCTTGTGTGGTAGATCTTTTAGCTCGAGCTGGACGTATAGTGGAGGCTAAGGAGCTCATTGATCGAATGCCAATGCAAGCCAGTCCTAGCATATGGGGTGCCTTGCTAGCTGCTTGCCGAAATCATGGTAATTTGGAAATTGGGGAGATTGCAGCAAAGCAGTTGTTCATATTGGAACCAGAGAATAGTGGAAATTATATTCTGCTTTCAAACATGTATGCTGAAGTTGGAAGGTGGGAAGAGGTGAACAATTTGAGAGCTCTCCTAAAGAACCAAGGTGTGAAGAAGAGCCCTGGATGTAGCTGGACTGAGATCAATGGAAAATGCCATTTGTTCCTTGGAGGGGATACTTCCCACCCACAAATGAAGGAAATTTACATGCTATTGGGAGACTTGCCTAAGAAAATTAAGGCAGCAGGTTACATACCAGATACTAGTTTTGTGTTGCATGATGTTAGTGAAGAGGAGAAGGAACATAACCTCACAATGCACAGTGAGAAATTGGCTATTGCTTTTGGGCTACTCAACACTAGCCCTGCAACAGTTATTCRAGTGACTAAGAATCTTAGAATCTGTGGTGACTGTCACACTGCCATTAAGTTCATATCAAGAATCTATGGTCGAGAGATTGTTGTGAGAGATGTGAATCGTTTCCATCATTTTAAAGATGGATCTTGTTCATGTGGAGATTATTGGTGATTATTATGATGAGAATCTCATTAGGGGATAAAGACTGGATCAAGTGTATAATTATTTTTTTGGATAAATTACATATGGGTACCTTGGAGGCATTCTTGGGAGTTTAAAACTTCTTGACAGATTTTCCATGGAGCCAGCAGCTTTGGGTTTGTGGCTTTCTTCTGGTTGTAGCCAAATAAGGGAGGGGAGAGGAGAGAAAAAGAAGATGAAAGGGGAGAGAGAGAAGGATGGATGACTAATTCGGTTCTCTTTATTGCCACTGGTTCTCAACTGGAGGAAGATGAACAATGACTTGGGGATTCAGTTGCAGATTGTGTTGCCGCAAATAAGGGAAGAAGAAGAAGGAGAAAAAGGAGAGAGAGGGAAAGGTAGATGGGGTAGAGCTACCACTGCTACTTTGGTTTGGTGGTGCTCTGTTTACCGCCACTAGAGAAAGAAGGTGAACAGTATTTTCAGTTATTGAGTATACAGTGGTCACCATATCGTCCGTTCCATCAGTCACCGGAATGCCTTTTCTGAGTAAATTAGTTTTAGCAGGGAAGGGGATAGCAAGAGGATGGATTTTCCTGAGTAAATTAACTATAACTTTTTTTAGAAGTCCTCCCATTATTTTGAATAACTTTTTCRAAGGGTAAATTGCTGAAACCTCCCCAAATCTGTTAGAATTTGCTAACAAGAGGCATGAAAATGTCCAAAATATACTATTAAGGTTGGTTTCTGCAAAAAACCAACAACAATAAAAAAGAAAAAGAGAATTTAAAGTTGTAGCTTTGTCTTTGAGCATTTGATATGAAGGATAAATTTGAAAAATAAATCAATTTCAGCAAAGAAAGTTGGAAGGGTTTGGACCAACAATTCATTTGAAGAGAAAATTTGAAAAATAAGCATTTTGGTGAAAAGTAACTACATGGGTCTTTTGGACATTTCCATACTTCTTTTTAGAAAATTTTAGCAAAATTAGTCTACTTGCAACTATGTCACAAAGTTTAGGGGAGGTAAAATGGTTAAAAAGTTTAGGGAAGGTTCCAGCAATTTACCCTTTTTTAAAGTGATGTATTTATTCCCTTCTCATTGGAGATCACTGGTTTATATAAGTTTAAATTGGGTTGTGCCGAGCTGACATGACATGACTTTGCGGGTGGCCCATGCTTTGGATGGTCGTATCGAGTCGTGCTTGCCTCCTTTGTGATACTTAAGAGGTCAGGCCCAAAACAAGCCATGCAAGCCGTAATCGTGTTGTGTCATGGCACATGCCTGGGTCGTGGGCCTGGGCCAAACCAAGACAATTTTTTTTGTTTTTTTTTTTACATTTCTAATATTTTTTTCATTTTTTGGCATTTTTTGCTAAGTGAGACAAACTTTGGGAAAATAAAAATTTAAGAAGAAATACTTAACAAAATAAAAAATAGAAGTTTTATTTCATTTGAATTTTAACAATACTAAATACAATGGAATATTGGAAATGGAATAAAATATATAAACAATATAATAAAATTTAAAATAAAGAATTACAATGGTATTAAAAAATAACAAATAACTTAAATAAAATTGAAGAATAAATTTCACAATAATTTTAAAAATGCTATACAATTATTTAGTATACAAAAAATTATTGACTTCTTCATTTTTCTTCAAGTTCTACCATCTCCTTGACCTTGGTCATCATCTACTTTTAGTAAAACATCAGTTAAAGTGTCATGCCCTCTTTTATCTTTTAGTCTATCTTCAACATCCAGCCAAACTTTCAAGCATATTCACATCTCCAAATTGTCATCATTCATGTAACTTCCCTTGTTGTTCAACACCCTGGTACATGAACTAAAGCAAGACTCCGATGGAAGTGTAAACATTGGAGGGGTTAGTAAATCACATGCCATAGCAACAAGAACTTGATAATTTTTTCCATGTTCACTCCAAGTTAAAATATCAAAATTATTTATTTCCTCCAAGTAAAAGGAATCATTTAAATTAGAAAAATTAGCTTGTAAATAAAAATTAAGTTCAGTAAATGAACTTGATGAAGAAGTAGCAACATATTTTTGCCTTTTATTTATTAGAGACCAAAATTTTTCTCTTTCATTATTAGAACTAAATGTTTTAGAAGTGGAAGTTGCAATTGTTGTACCTGTACAAGTTTTCCTATGCCTTAATAATTGAGATTCATATAAACTATATATTTTAAATAATAAATTAATTCTTTTTTAATTCCAATTTCAGTATTCATATTTTCACAATAAGATTCAATGCAAACATTTTAACTATCTTTCCTAATCCTATGATCTAATGTTGTAGCTAATAAATACAGTGGAGAAATGCTTTCCCAATATTTTTTAAATTTAACTTCCATTATTTTAATAGTACTCTTAAAATTGAATTATTTCTATATTTTTAAAAATATTCATTAATCATAAATAAATGATTAACTAAAATACAACTAGTTGGGTAATAAAACCCCCAAAAATTCATTAGTTGTATCATAAAAAAATTTATAAAAAAATTCTTTTATACGAACTACCATTTCCTATTATAAGATCATTTGGCATTTTTTCATTATAAAAATTAATAAGAATATCTTTATACGAAATACAACTTTCTAACAAGAATAGGTGGAATTCTACTTATGTTGAATATCTAATACAAATTTTTTATATTTTAAACCATATTATTATATAGATATTTAAATTCTTGTTTTTTTTGTTCTATAATTACTAACATATATAATACAATTTCTAATTTTAGAAATATGATGAGAAATCATATTTAAAATAAGATCCTTCCATTTCCTAATTTCATGGAAGAAAGGATTCACTCTTTTATTTTGTCGATAGAGGGTTCATGATTAGTAATCATGAAAATAGGTAAAATAAATGGATCAGGAAGAAAAAAGTAATTCTTCGAAACTTTTGATTCTTCCTACAATTGGATCTTATGTCACCAAATGCATATCTAAAATGAAATAACTTACCTTTTAAACATGATTTTAATTGAGATTTTGAAATATTTATTACTAAATCATTATTACCAGCATTATCAAAATTAATAGAAAAAAAGTTTATTTTCAATTCTATAATTATGCAAAGTATTTAAAATACTTGCAGTAATTGTTAGGCTAGTATGTGGCCATTCAAGCTTAGTAAAACATAAAATTCTTTTTGTAAAAGTCAAATGTCATCAATAAAATGTCCAATAACATAAATATAACTTATATTATATTTAGAAGTCCAAATATCAAAAGTAATTGCAATTTTAGATTTAAGTGTTGATAAAGTAAAAATTAAGTTTTGTTTATATGAATAAAAAATTTTTAAAGCATCTACTCTAATAGTATTTCTAGAAACTTTTTTAAAATGAGGATTTATAGATTGTTATAAATTTTTTTTGTAACTTAGTGTATTCAACTAATAAAAATGGTTGTTTTGCATGTATATATATTTTTCTAATTCTTGTCTCCTTTTTTTCTTGAGAATAATGAAAATTACCAAAAAAAACCATGCCCAATTTGTGCTTGTAATGATTAGGGGTGAGCATTCAGTTTATTCGGTTAAAAACCGAACCAAATAAACTAAAATCTTAAAAACCAAAATAAAAATATGAAAACCGAATTGAAATCGAATTACAAGAAAACCGAAATAACTGAAACCAAAAGTTTTGGTTTGATCTTTGGTTATTCCGGTTAAAAATTGAATTTAATTAATATTATATATTATATATTATAACCTATAATATATATTATGAAATTGAGTTTCATTATAATACATTATATAATATATTAATATATAAATATATAGCATATTATATATTATATGTTATATATTGTACATTATATATTACATATATATATTATAATATATATAATATATATTATATATATTATATATATTATATTATATATTACATATTATATAATGAATTTTGGTTAATTCGGTTTTTTGGTTAACCAAATTTCTAACTTTGAAAACCGAAACCAAAAACCAAAATTCCTAAAAATCAAACTAATCGAACCAAACTACCCAAAAACTGAAATCGAAACTTTCGATTCGATATTTCAGTTTTAACCAAATTACCTAAAAATCAAACTGAAATCGAACCAAATTACCCAAAAACCAAAATTCCTAAATGGCCAGTACTACCCTTGCTACTATAACTAAAAAACACTCATACATTTAAGACAAATAGCTCCTTTCCCTTCCCCTCAACCTCTTGTTTGTTAAATATTTTCCAGACTGGGCTAGTCAGCTTAGTGCCTTTTTTTCCCTAGTAGCAATACTAGGGCTTACAACTCCAACGACATCAACCTTAACCATAGAACCACTAACATGCATATCGGTGTCGTTATACTATGACTAAATATCATCAATGTTGAGCATGTTGGAAAATCAATATCAGAATGAGTCGTCCATTTTTAAAAAATTATAGTATTAAAACTTCGAAAAAATAAAAATTTATTTAATTGCAATGTACCTAGTCTCCTAGTTTGGAATATCAACTTGATTTCAATTGCTGAATCCCCCAAGCCTCCCGAATTACTAACTTGAAATACTTGATCAAGTCATCTCCTTGTTGAAACTTAAATAAAGTTGAGAATTAGAGAGCATGAAAGTGTGTATAAGAGAGTATATGAGAATATGAGAAAGTATGGGAGAGATGAGAATTGGTGTGATGAGAATGATGGAAGGTAAAGGTATTTATAGGAGCTGGAATTAATTCAATTAACTAAAACATCCTAAAAAATTAGCCATTTTTTAGTTGTTTGGATATTTTGGTCATTATAAAGCTAATTATCAGTTTTCCCAAATACCTCTCAAACTAGCTGATATTTAACTATTGGGGAGCACTATTGTTAGTCATTGGGGGAGGGGGTCCCCAATGGCTATACTATGTATTGACTATGGGTCGGGCCGTGTTGGATCTTATTGTGGACTGTGCCAGGTTGTAGGCCCATTCCAACACAGCCCGCTTTGTCGTGTTATGTTGTACCGGTTCGTGGGCCCAAAAACCCA